GGTCATTTACTAAAAACTAAAATACCAATCCCAGCCTACCTTCCCAATGATTCTTTTTTACCGTTGTGGAAAACATCAAATTTATATGGTCAATTCTGATTTAATAAAATATATTAATACTAATAATCTATTAATTAACCTCCTATTCTTGAAGATCTAAATTGCACGTCACCTGATCTTGATGCTTATCAATGCACCTTATCCATAATTGCGCCCTCTAGTGGTAAAGTGATCCTGTGACAAAAAAATAAATAATTGTCGAGACCCATTGTTTAAAAAAACAGAATGGTTTCAAAAGCTAAGCTAGTTTTAAACTAGGTTGAAGCCAGTTAAATGTTATGTCCAAACTGTTCTGTACATAGGATTTTTTAAATTTTATTACAGGGGCAGATTATGTTGGAACCGAGGGCGTGTGCTGCAGCCGGTCAGAGTGGTTTGATGGCGCTGTATGAAGCGATGTTTTCACAATATGGTGTAACTACAGCACAGGTATGACACAGTCACAGTTACATGTCATGATGTTTTCATTCAAATTAATGCTACACATGCTTCACATGAGTGCAAAGGTAGATAACATTGTGGGCGTGCAACTTAAGTGACGTAATGAAGATCACATAAAAACCTTGTGATAGGATCCATTTTGAGAATTATACTGGTGATACATGTGACATCACTGAGCCGCAAAAAACATTTGATCTGACAAAGCTATGAGTCGCGCACAAATGCTGTATCTTGTCATTTTGAATATTCAGTGGAAACAAACTGATGATTTAGAGTCTGACTACCAAGGATTCTTAGCTATCAACATAGTCTGAAAACAACGATTTATTACCATATGACTACTGTTGCCATGCTAAACCAAGTGAAAAAAATTGCAATAGCAATATTTGTACTAAATCATGTTCACTACATTTTGTCCTCAAAACTCCCCTATAGAGGGCGCTTTTGCTAAAAGTATGATTTTTGAGTTTCTCTTGTTTTTTTTACTTTCATCATTTTCTTAGGTTTTAGTAACAAAACCTGATTTCTATCATGATTACACCAGAAACAATTTACGAGGAACCATAAATGAGTTGGTACAGATGAATATTATACCGATTATAAATGCCAATGATGTGGTGGCTCCACCACCTGAAAAAGATAAGGACCTTCAAGGGGTAAGTGTAAGTGCATGGAAAGACTAAAGACATTCACACCCACTAACCATTGTCATTGTGTTGTTACCAATAGGGAAGTTTTACTGTATCCAATAGAACCGCATATATCTAGGAATTACATGTATTTTATACTTGATCATTAAAATATGACTTATTTCGTTTTTTTTTTATTGCAATATTAAACAATAGATTTTGTACTTGTCTATCCATTCGTTCGTCTGTCTACTTGGTTTGCTTGTACAAATTTTCTTCATCGTTGCTTTGTACAAACCTTTGAATGCCAAAGTCGACTTTTGTGACCATTTACAAATTTTAAACCCACATAATTTTTCCGTAATTTTCTCAAAAATTGATAAAAAAAAAAAAAAGTAGAAAAGTACTTAAAAACAAACATTATTTTTTGTTAAATATGTTTCTTCTTCATCACCAGGTGATAAGTATTAAGGACAATGACAGCTTGGCTGCCAGGGTGGCTGTTGAGATGGGAGCACATCTACTCATAATGCTGTCTGATGTCAATGGTATCTATACAGGTCCACCAGGTGCTGAAGGGTCACTATTATTGCACACATTTTATCCTGGTGATTCCACCAATATTGTGTATGGTGCTAAATCCAGAGTTGGTCTGGGAGGCATGGAATCAAAGGTGTGTTATTTTTAGTCAGTCTGTTTTCATACTTTTTCATTGTGACTAGATATAGAAAAAATAATGTTTTAGAGTTAAAAACAGTTTTGGTCTACATTTTCAGATGCAACAAGTACCATGTGTGTGAATTATCTTGCACATAGAAGGAACAGTCATGAACATGTTTGTATAAAGTGAATAATGTTAACACCCCATTTGAATGTGACTTTCTGATGCTTGTCTGAAAACCATTCCCAAAACATTTGGAAATTTCTTCAGGATCACTAGTGAGATTCAAAATAGTAAATGATACCATTTATAATAGATGAATTATAGTGCACTGCAAACCTCTTGCGTGTACGTCTTTCTCTCGATATTCTATGGCAATTGGCATTAAAAATTTATTTTTTATTATAAATTAATATTACAGTGCAGTATTTGCTATTATACAGTACATCTGTACTTGCACATTGCCATTTTCAGCTCTCTGGGCATGCAATGTGTAGGTTATAAAGTTGTTGAGAGATCATAAACAATTTAACAAGTGATTACTAGTAATCAGTCATGGGTAGATCCTTTCAAACATCATGAATAAAAATTACTTTAATTTTGTAACTCTGTGCTAAATATTATAACACATCTCTGATAAATCATTAGTTGCATCTTAAGGTAGCGATGCAGTTTACCTGATTGGTATTTTAATTAGTTAATTAGGAAACCAAGATGACCTCCCTTGTCCACAAAACTATATATTTTCGGAAAGCTTATTGTATGAATTTTAAAGTTTTGTTAGTATTTTATTTTTATGAACACTGTAGTTTGAAATATGCACAAAAATGTGCTTTTTTGGTCAAAAGTGATTTCAAAAAAATTAGCTTCTAAACCATGCTTCTGTTTCCTG